AAAAACAGTCTGCTTTCTTTCAAATATCAGTTATTAGCATTTGAAGTCATTGTAGAATTCAGAACCCATAAGTTCAAATCCTGGCACCACCTATGTGCACAGAATCTCGAAACATATAAACGGACACACTCATGATCGATAGCAAAGATTATTATACCATTTAAATGTGAACACATATTATCTTGTCTTTTCACATTTTTATTTGAGCATAGGTTGTTAATTTTTGGAGACAAACCTTGTGCTATGGGGGCCACAAAAGTTTCAAGAAAATAATAAGTAGGAGAATTGGGTCACGATAGAAAGCACACTGAAGTTGCGGTGCGGTGCGGCTTTGATAGCTAGCTAGAGTGGGTCATTTGTACTTTAATTTCTTTCCTATTTTGTGTTTTGTCCGTCAGGACCAAAAACTTTTTTGTGGGACATAAGTATATTTCATATTATAATATTTCACAAAATATGTCTCGTGTCCTTAAAGAATTTATGTTCGGCTAGCTAGACATAAGTTCAATTGCTTAAGACAAAAAAACAATAAAAAATCAACTCATATAAAAGATAAAAAAAATAAAGATCAAATCGTGACAATGTACAGTTAAATGCGCTAGAGTCCACACATCTATTCAATTACTCTTTTTTTAAGCCATCACCAGGGTTGTGAGCCCTTAGTGTGGGGGGTTAGGCTTGACCCCGACCATTCTATTCATCCAAAAAGGTACAAAGTTAGAGGGGGACATGGACCAAACCTCCAACAAGAAACAAACTACACAAAAAAATTCCGAAGAAATAAAGAAAGGATTAGCCTATGCAATATCTTTTCCTATAAACCAAAAGTTTTTTAGCTAACAAAAAGTTGTTTTTCTCATATCTTCTTCGTATGGACGGATATTGTCATATATCCAATTGAATTGAGCCTTTAACCTCTCTGGGAAGTTGACGATGAGAGGAGTAAAAGGTTTTGTTTCCACTAGAGGATGCCAATTTAGCAAGAAATTAAAGTTGGCTACTTGATTTGCCTCTCGCAAACAGTGAGTAATATTCACGGAAGTTCCACTATTGAATTGACTTATATCACGAATGAGCGTCTTCAGTGTCATGTTGGTAATGCTACTATATAGTTTGTAATAACAAATAAATTCATTCTAGTCTTGATAATACAACCAACCTTAGATGGCCATTATCATGATACCGATTTTTAAAACAATAGTCCCCTTTTTTTTTAATAAGCCATCATCTGGGTTGTGGACCTAAGGTGTGGGAGGTTAGGCTTGATCATGGCTATTCATAACAAAAAGTTACAATTAGTTAGAGGGGGGACATGGACTTAACCTCTACTTGTTGAAGGAACACGAGAAGCAAGTAGCACAAAAAATTATGATGAAAGAATTAGCCTATACAAGTTCCTTTCATACTAAGCATGTAAAATATTAACCGACAAAAAATTACACTTTTCTTATCTACTTCATTCTCATCGAGGGAAATTGTTGTTTATCCAGTAGTATTAAACTTTTAACCTCCCTTGGTAATTGTTGGTATGAGAGGTAGAAGGTTCCATCTCCACTAGTAGCAGCTAATTTAGCGAAGTGATAAGCCACATTATTTGTTTCTCTCAAACAATGGGATATATGATATATAATTAGCATTGCTTAAAATCTTGATAGTATCTTAAATGATAGTTTTCAACTTCAAGTTGGTAGTATCCTTGGTTATCAACATGTTGGTGATTATTTAAGACAAGTTAGAATGTTGCTTGCTGAGAGTAAATAAAGTACAAACGGGAAGGATGGCTTGGTATGTATATATACCATACAAAATTTGAAGGGCTTCAAAAGATGATAAGGACTCTTCTCTAAACTTGATACAAATTCCAAGAATATTGATCAATTATGTAAGTATGCTATAATACTTATACCTTATTTTGATGTATATATACTTCAGTTTTTAATTTATGGTTTTTAGCTTATTTTGATTTAAAAATTGTTGAAAATATTTTGTATTTTTAAAAGTTTTTTTTATTTTTTATTATTGGTCAATATGTTACTTTGTGGCCAAGGATAATATTGACTTGGCAGTTGGCAAGTCCATGTGATGGTATATGGCTCTTCATATGAAGTGACATGATTGTCACATGCTACTCACAACTGTATCCAAAGCCTCACCTTTGTTGTTGCTGCTATAAATAGGAGTCGAAGGCTTCAGAATGACAAGAGGACAACGAAGCAATTCACAGTTTATCTTTCAGGTTTGCTGGTTTTTGTAGTAATTATATTTTGTTGTTCCTGTTCCTCTTATAGAGAAGGCTTGTTTAATCTTGAGGAAACATTTCATATAGTTGAAATAGTTTCTTAGGACAGTGCCTAGCACGACTCAAGCATCGTTTGTATTAACTTATAAATAAATATTATATTATTGTTGTTATAATATCCATATTTCCCCAACAAAAATAAGTGTTTAAAGCACTTTTTTTTGTCTCATCCAAACACTACAAAATAAGTTAAAAGCACCTAAAATAAGTCGATTCAAAAGAAACCATTGCCTTGGATGCAACAAAATTGTCATCATCCTGGCATGAACCAAGAAAAGGGCTGACAAATTGCATTTGATAAAACTTAAAAGCAGCAAGTGAAAACTGATAACTATTGATAAATCAAGAATCAGAAGTTGAAAAAGTATTTCTATTTTCTGATTTATAATTTGAAAAACGAGAGAATATTTACTTACAAAGTATGGGTGTACAAAATCAAACCAAAAATCGAATCAAATCACAAATCGAGTCAAACCAAAAAAAGATCTGACTAATGGTTTGGTTTGACTTGATTTTGTATTGGAAAAAAAAATCGACTATACTTATGTTGGTTTGGTTTTAACCAACCTGACATTATATATATAATTTTTAAAATTTATTTTATATATAAAAGTATTTATTTTGATATAATTTCTAAATATTGCTTATACGTTTTCATAATTTTTATCTTTTAACATATTTTTTTCAAGTTTTTTTGAAACTTAGAATTTTAAATGGTCCAATAAAGGTTATAGTACATAGATATTATTAATTCTAATAAAGCTCAATTCAAAATCAAATGAATACCAATGCTAACAAAATAAATTAATTCAAAAACTAATAATGACAATAATGTTGAATAATTGTTCTTTAGTTTTACATTGGTTTAGACATTTAAAATACATAATCTAATTTTAATTTTTCTTTAATGTTTAATCATGTAATTAATACTTATTAGACTTATTTTAGCATGATTTAGTACTTTCAAAAGAATGATCATTTTCATTATGACTCATCAATTTGCAATATTAATTTTATACGATTTCATTATTATTTTTTATTGAATATTTTAGTGTTATCACTCATCTCATATTTGTGTTATTTTATTAAAAAACACCTTAGATGGTTGTATTTTGATTGGACTTAAGAAATATTTGGAGCACAAGTTAATTACATGTTTGTATGAATACTATACCGAAAAAATCCAAAAATTCGAGATTTATTAGTTTGTTTGATTTAAAAATTTGACACAAATGGTTTGGTTTGATATTTAAAAAATCTGAACCAACCCGGAAAAACCCGAAGTTGAAAAACCTGAAAAAATCCGAGTTTTATTAATTTGGTTTAGATTTATAAATTTAAAATTTTGACGCAAATAGTTTAGTTTGAAATTTGAGAAACCCAAACCAACTCGGTCAACAGAGACCTTTAATTGCAAGCATGACTTGAGCTGCATGTGTTGCAGACAGGCGCGGATTTAGGCATAGGTAAGATGTGTCACGGGACACGGCTTCGTCGAAATTTTTTACGAAATATACCTATATTTAAAAATAAAAATAAAAAACCTTAAAGGTTAAGACAATTAAAAAGGACACCCCTTATATCAGAATACTATTAGCTCAAGTGGCAGAAGCGCCACATTTGATTCCTCACGTTCCAGGTTTGATTCCCAACAGTCTACTTTTATTCTAGGTGTTTTTTACACGTTTTATTTGTATTTTTACCACTTTAATTCATTCATATCTAACTTACTCTTTTTAGAAAAAATAAATTAAAATAAAACTCAAAATTTGTGAGTCTTTTATCCATTAGAATTATAGTACATAAAAATAGTATTGACTCCTTAAATCCTTATATTTGTATATTTGTGACTTGTGAGTTTTTTCAATTTTCTTTCCGTTCTTGTTCATCAATCATCGTTATTTGGCATCTCAAATCTCTTCGCATCATGCAAGTATTTTTTGCTATTCTACTTTAAACTATTACGTGGTTGAATTTTATTTGTTCATAATAATAATTTTATTTTTTTCTGTTGGCTTGTTATAGTGAAACAATTTACAATTCATTAAATTGATTACAATTGTTCGCAATCGTCTATTAATTGATCCTCAATTACTAATTGTGCAGATCACATCATATTAGTCTAAATTTAATGGAGAGTCTAAATTTAATGCAGCGGTATTATTCTAAAAATATCATAAACGTTCAAAGTCAATCTTAACAACTCAAGCTTCAACCGATTTGGAAGAACAAGACAATTAGTCAAAAAAAATATCAATAAAGTAAAGGAATTGATTTAAGTTCATTGCCGATTGATGTTAATTTATTAAAAGATGTTAATCGTATTTATTTGCAATACAATCGGTTGAATAATGTTAGTATTAAATTTTATTTAATAATATGAAGATGCGAGTGGTTTAATTTAAAATTTTGAAATATTATCTAATTTAAAGAGTAGGTAATTTTTTATAATTTTTATAATTTAATAAAAAATTTATAATTTTAAGAAAATTATATTTCATAAAGTTTACTATTAATGGACCCTCAAATTTTTGGAGGCCTAAACCAAAAGCTTCATTGATTTTTTTTTTGAGTCATTCTTATCCAATGATGACACCGCTTAAAAAAATTTCTGTCGTACGCCACTGGTTGTAGACTTGCATAGTAATAAAAAATATATATATCCTGCCAGATATTTAGATAATTGCAAGCATGACTTGAGCTGCATATGTTGCAGACTTGCATAGTAATAATATATATATATATATATATATATATTCTGCCAGATATTTAGAATCATATCTGATATGGTGAACAACCATCATAGCTTTCATTGATTTTTCCACAGTAAATTCAGTTTCGCTCAGCAAAAATAGTGATCAAGAAGAAGCGATTGTTGTGAGAATTCAAAGGTAGCAGCTATGGCAGAGAAGGAGGGAGCAATTATCAACAAGGGGCATGAGGAAGGTTTGAAAATGGCAGTTTCCCTAATGGAGGAATTCGAACTCCCATTGGGGCTACTCCATCTTGCTGATGTGATCGAAGTGGGGTTTGTGAAGAACACAGGCTACATATGGGTCAAGCAAGAAAAAAATTTTGAGCACAAGTTCAAGATGATCGGCAAACTGGTAAGTTATGATACAGAAATGAGTGGATACGTCGAAAAGAGGAGAATCAAGAACCTCAAGGGAGTGAAGGGTAGGGAGTTGATGTTATGGCTTCCAGCTTATGAGATCACTGTGGATCATCCTCTTACTGGAAATGTTCAAATCAAGAGTCTGGCTGGCATCACCAAAACTTTTCCAGCTGAAGCTTTTGCTGCTGGTCAGTAACGGATGCATATTTTCTGATCATCCTTAGAACTTACACTTGTATCCAATTGGTAATAACAAAAATTGACCAGTTCATTATTATTTGTGTTGGAGCATTGCAGTTTTTGTTTGGCATAAAAAATAGTATGTTTCGTTTTCTGATAGCAATGTCCTGTTCTTTGAGATAAACATTATGTATTATTGAAGTTAATGCATGATTCTTCTTCCTGAACTCTCTTCACCAAATCATAAAGAGCAGTAAGCACATTTGACAGAACAACATATTTAAAGAGACGAACGATATTGTTAGCAACTCCATTAAAACTATAATTGCTTGTGATCAACTTTACATCAAATACTCCACCAATAAAAAAAAGTCGCAGGTAGGACGACTGTTAGTTCTTAACTGATTTACATAACTAATAAATAGAAAACATTTAAAGATGACACTCATCTAGTCGACTCTTGTGCAGCTGAAATGCAGGGTTAATCCATGCTCCACAGTTGCACTGCATGCCTGCCCAATTGAAGTAACCAAGCCGAGCTTTGCAACCCAGGCACTGAAGCTTATCTTGGACACAACCATCTTCCACTGTTAGATGAGAATGAGTGACATTAGTAATTTGAAAGGATAGAAGGCAATTTTGTATAGGAATAAAAGAACAGTTTGGAATGAGACTAACCAACTTGCATCCACTTCATGGGCTCAACAAAAATAGAGGTGCATTGAGGTGGCTCGTTGTAGGGATTGTCGCTTCTCTTTTTCCACTTGAAACATTTTTGGCCTTCACCAGGTTCATGTGGAACAACTTGCTCTTCTGATGCAACTATCCTTCGACATTTCTTGCAGCGGTATATAACTTGAGGTTTTGGATCAATACTAACATCAGAGGCTTTTTGAGAACTATCAATACTAACATCAGAGTTATTAGCTGCTTCCATGGTACTAGGTCAGTTAATCTGTTTACAACCAATGGAAATCACAGTGTAAGAGAAGAATATTGCAGAGCTACCATGCATATTCATCACAAGGAGAAACTATCTAAAAATATGTATGTGTATGAATAACCATGATTTACTACATCGACTCATGAAGTGTGATAAGACATGTAGCCCATTTTATGAAACCAATGAAAATGCATGTATAACAAGTTAATAACCAAAAATCTTTAAAGACCATGAAAGATATAGTTCAACATATTGATGTCTTGAATAATTCTATATGGTTGATGCTCACTTCAACCCATTATCTAACATTTCACAAATCACTTTTCAGCACAGAAGTTGTTACTGGTCAGCAACCTCAAATGACATAAAGCAATTACAGGTATGTACATATAACATGAAGATATAACCGAAAGCCCTACCCTCAAATTAATATGGTAAAGGTGAATGCAATATGTTGAGGAAATATCGTGGAAGCACACAATCACAAACAAAGAAAATAGAGAAAAAGAATAACACAAGGATTTAATGAGGTTCGGCTGGGCTTACTCCTCCGGCAAATGTAGAAAGAGAGTTTTCCACTATGAAAGAAAGAGAACAAGTTTTACAATGCTTTAGAATCCCCAACTACATATCCTATATATAGATCCCAAGTAGTCCCAGACCTATAAGGAAAAGGTAGTCCCAGACCTATAAAGAAAAGGTTTTTCCAATCCTACAAGGACAATATTTCCTTTTCCAAATCTATTAGGACAAATGGTCACCTAAACTAATAGGAATTATAATTTCCTAAATAAACAAGGGAATAATTCAACACAATAAAAGTAGGGTTGGACAAATTTTGAAAAATAAATGAGAATGACATAAAAATAAAAATAGCATCATAACAAGATCCAATTCCTCAATGAAAACTAGAACAATTAGTTTCTTGTAACATTAGAAACTTTGAGATTAAAATCATGCTGGCAAACAACTCTACGAACTTAGGATTGCAAATGAATATCCGTGTTGCAGCCTTAAAGGTCTCAAGTAGTTAGAAACAATTATATGAATCTTCTATTTATGTTCCACACTCTTCGAAGTTTTTCCATTCCAGTACTCAACAATTCATACCTTTTCTCTAAAACTATATGTTCTCTAAATCTTAGACTCATCTTTACACTGATATACAAGTCTCACATTGAGAGAAAAAATAAACACTAGAGCACTATTCCAATAGAGCAAAAGAACCGATGTTGCATGACCTAGGCAGGATTCTCAAAAACAGATCAAAATTGGATATCACAATGTGCTATTCAATCCCTTCTCATTAACTAAAGTATATAAAATTATCTATTAATCACAATTATATTGAATCATGTGCATAGCTAGATAACAAAACTTTACAGAGAAACAGATTACAATAGGGCACTACAATTATTATACCAACAAACTTTTCTCCATTCATAGAAAAGTGATTCGGAACATTTGCATGAGATCAGACGGAAAAGAGATAAACAACTTACATTGATGATTTATTTTATTTTTTTCCAGAAGAAAGAGAAGTGCGAGGATTTCGTCGGAAAAAGAACGAGTGTGTAGGCATGAAAGAGGAGTAAAGCAGTATTTGAAAGTTTGGGTTTAGCCAAATCCGAAATCAATTGGGTTTAGGGCCTCCAATTTGTAACGAGTTTGGGCTTATAAGTACATGTCCAATCCTGCCATCCTAGTTCCCCAATTGGTGAAGTTCACAAAATAGCCAATTTGGGGTTCCTATTTATATCATAGCCTAAAATTATAACTTTAGACACGAGGAATTAAAATTGAAAATATTTGTGCCTGAAACTATAAATTTTATTTAAAATTAAGAGATCACATGCATGAATGAAGTTAAGGCACGTTAATGTATACATTTCTCTCAAATATTCTTCTTTCTCAAGAACGAAATATCAAAAATATTGATAATATATTAAACTGAGAGCAATTTATGTTATCATTCTTCACTCGCAAGGGTGAATTTTTAGTCTAAAAATGGAGCAATAGAACTAATTTATTTTTTTTGTAAAAATAGGTTGTTAATATATATATATATATGGGAAAGGGTCAAAATTACCCCTTAACTTTGTTTTATTGGTTGACTTTACCTCTGCTGTTAAAAGCAAGTTATTTTTACCCCTACCGTCAATAAACTTAACAAATATACCCCTCCTTGGATGGAAAGCCCCAAATCAATTAAATTATCCGATTTTATTTAAATTACTCACTTTTAACCCGACCTGACCCACTTAATAATATACCCGATTTTCAAAGTTAGATCTGAGGTCAAATCTACCCAAAACCTGTTGACCACTTCAACCATTAATCTTATCCAGTTCTTCTCTTGATTTTCAACAAGATTGTTGTGGAGTTTGTACGAGGTTTCATTCACTTGTTCCTCGAGTTAACTTTTTTTGGGAAACACAAAAGGGATTTGGTCTTAGAAAGCAAGAAATTGACTCTTGATAGGGCTGCTGACTTGGACGTGGTAGAGAGTTGGAGAGGTGGTGGTTTCGGCGATGGTGGTGAAGGAGATCTCGGAGAGGTGTTATCAACATTGCATTTTTTCCTATTTTGTGTATTAGTTATATGGAGAAGCTTTTCCCAATTTTTAGTTCTGGGTTACCAAGATATATGGCTATTTTCAGTGGCGGATCCAAAATTTTGCGACAGTGGGTGCTTAGCTTTTGTTATTTTGACATAAAGTTATTACTAATTACATAGCATGTAACTGTATATGTGTAGAACTATTTGGTTGCAATAGTGTTTTTCTATAAGTAAAAAAAAAGGATAATGAAATCATTACGATTAGTATCACCGTTAGGAAAGAAAACTAGTCACAAATAACTAATGTACCCATCGACTTGTATATTTTGGAGTGGATATGATTAACAATGTCACTGCTAACACTTGTGAATATTAAATGCTATGTATGGAAAATTAAATACACTATAAATTTACGCTAATATTATTATAAAATTCATTTGTGATATAACTCATGGACAAGAAAGTTCACTCATAGGTATATTTTGCTTCTTTTATTTAAAAATAAGGGAAAATGCACAAGTACCCCCTCAGCCTATGTCTGAAATTCCTAAGACACACCTAACCTTCACTAAGGTCCTATTACAGCCCCCCCCCCCCGAACCTTATTTTATGTATAATTTTCTACCCCTTTTCGGTCTACGTGACACTATCTTGTGGGCCCAACTCGTGTTGACAATTTTTTCAAGAATAATGCTACGTAGGCCCAAAAGGGGTAGAAAATTAATTAAAAAATAAGTTTGGGGGTAATAGGACCTTAGTAAAGGTTAGGTGTGTCTCTTTTGTGATATAACTCATGGACAAGAAAGTTCACTCATAGGTATATTTTGCTTCTTTTATTTAAAAATAATACTCATAATTTAGAACTGTTCAAACCTTCATGAGTGGTAATTTATTGAAATCTTTTAAAAGCTTCTTTCTATTTTATATTTTTGCTACAATAAATTAATAATTTTACATTTTCCCTTTTATTTATCTAAAATTAAATTAGATAAAGGAAAATAGTAAAAAAAAAAAAACAATACAAAAGCTCAAGAGAAACTAACGAGGAGAAATTAGAACTGGACAAACTAATCACCGATGAGAACGTAGAAGAAGAAAAATAGGAAAAAAGGGTTACACAGACGGGAATCGATCCGTCGTCTGCCGAAATCAAGATCCTTCAGCACCCAGCTATCAACCAACGCGCCATAGCAAACTTAATGTTGTGGGTGCTCACTAGTATTATATATCAGTTTTCTTAATATTCCTGCATACTTATGTAAACTTAGTCGAGGTCAATGGGTGCTCGAGCACCCACAATGCTATATGTAGGTCCGCCCCTGGCTATTTCGATATCTACGTTATTGTTATCGTTTTTGAATTATACTGGATTAGCTATTGTGGGTTATGTTGTTGTTGTTCTTGGGATTGTATCACTTGCACCTTTCATTATAATGTCGTTGATTGCGATTCCAAAGATTCAGCTCCATAGTGGATCAGTTTAGGGCAAAAAGGGGTGAAGAAGTATTGGAATATGTTCTTCAATTCATTGTTTTGAAATTTGAATTTTTGGGATAATGTGAGTACTTTGGTTGGTGAAGTTGAAAACCCGAAAAAAACTTTTCCTAAAGCACTTTTTTCATCAGTAATCTTAACTTGTTTTGGTTATTTAATCCCACTCATGGTTGTTACTGGAGCAGTATCAGTTGATCAAAGGGAATGGAAAACAGGGTTTATGGCGAACGCGGCAAAGATGATTTCTGGTAAATGGTTGAAATTTTAGGTTGAAATTTCGGGTATATTATTAAGTGGGTCGGTCGGGTTAAAATTGGGTAATTTAAGTAAAATCGGATAATTTTAATTGATTTGGGGCTTTCCATCCAAGCAGGGGTATATTTGTTAAGTTTATTGACGGTAGGGATAAAAATAACTTGTTTTTAACGGCAGGGGTAAAGTCAACCAATAAAACAAAATTGAGGGATAATTTTGACCCTTTTCCCTATATATATATATATATATATATATATATATATATATATATATATATATGACGCACTTGGTTAAATCGTACAATTTTGATGCTTTACACAAAATAAGAGGGAGAAAAGTATTCTCACCCTTAAAAAAAAGTAGTACATTAAAACAAAAGGTAGATAAATACTCCCTCCATCCCTTTTTAGTTGTCCACTTTAGAAATGGCACACAGATTAAGGCAATAATGATTAGCACAGTGAAGTTACAATTTTACCCTTATGACAACTTTTCACTTCAAAATTACAACCACTTTTTTGAATTCAAGTGAAATAAATTGGAGGGAAACAACATACACTTTTACAATTTTCAAGAAGTGTAAATAAGGGTATAATAGGAAAAAATTTGTTGTCCTTTCTTGATTTGTCAAAATGGACAACTAAATAGGGACAACCAAAAAAGGAAATATGGACAAGTATTGCGTGTTCGAATCCCATTTGTACCTATTTTTTTGAGAAAGACATTTTTTTAAGAAAAAGGAAATTGCTGCACACGTTCTTTTAAGAAAAATTAGAGAACTAAAATTAATTTATATCGAAAAGACGAATAATTAAATCAAATATAAAATTAATTTAATTGATAAGTCTATTTGGCACCCACGGAGTCTAAATCCTGGATCCGCCACTGGGAGGGAGTATTGACGTAGTGTTCAACTGTTCATCCTCATGGCCCGTAAATTTTACACATTAATTAACTATAAAAAAATATTTACTCAATCTGTTTATTTATAAATTTAATTATGTTACAAATAAATTCAAACGATGAACATAATTCTGGCTTGTTAATAGAAATTAGAACAGTAAATAACTTATCATCAAAAGGTTAAAACACTGATACTGCAACTAATCTTTGCATTATCAATATATAAATTCAAATCCAATTCAAGTTTATCAATTCTGTTTAAAGTCACTGACAAGGATGCATGTTTTTGCTTATCAATTGCTTCTAATTAAGAAAGTCCTTAGAGGCTAATTGACAGGTGATGAAATAACATTTGAAGCATTTATAACCATCTATTTACAATTATTAATTGGTACAAGAAATGAAAGTCATTATAAGTACAAATTAATTAGATTAGTGATTAGTCTTGCCTTTATTATGCATCATATGAAAACGAAATGGCCGCCATTTTCTAATGACATTAGACTAGAGAGTACGTCATCATGTCTCCTGAACAAAACATTATTCTTTCTTATCTTATTTAGTATTCAAAAGAAAATTCTCTTATTTATTTTTTAAATTAATATTCCGTCCTTTTAATTTAAAAATTAAACTGTGTGGCTTTTCTTTTTTAATCCATTTTTAAAAAAAATATTAAATTTCTATACTTTGCAAGTTCTTTATTCAATATTTAGTTCACCTTAATAATTGATATATCTACGAAATTCAAAACATATTTTAAATATACTATACATGCTTTTTATGATCATGAAATTCAAAACTTGATTGTAAAAACAAATAAAATTTAATAGATTCCGTTCAAATCACTGAATATCATTATCATTTTTTCTGTTAACTTGTGGCTAATAGCACAATAGAGTAAGAGATTATGCTTCACACTTAGTAGACACATACAAAATGTATAACAAATCAAGCGATCCCACAAATTAACGTGACCCAAATTTTCTTTCATGCATAAAAATATATATAGATTCCTTTTACTTCCAATTTTTTGGGGTCTACTCTTTTCGTACGTGTTGATAGTATATGTTTTGCTTCTATGAAATAGATTCCTTTTACTTTTAAAGAGTATCACCATTACACGGATTCCATGATAAAGAGTGTTTTTTTTATTTGGATTTTTTCGTAAAGTTAATTATTCAGTTTTGCTGACCCAGAGATTCTTGTTATTAGAACTATTTTATACCAGAAAAAGAAGAATGAAATGTTTTATATTTTGTCATGATTTGTGTTCATGGATATATTCAGTTCACAATATCACTCAAAGCACAACCAAGAGATCCTCATGTGAAAGAAATTGTAACGTAAGAAAATCCTCCTTGAATACGAAGACTTCAATTTTTAGAGTTATAAGCCAGGAAGTAAAGGGGCAGGTTCATTATGATTTTTATGGAAAAGGACCAAATATGTCTTTGATCTATTGGTCTAGTTCTAAATATCATCTATCGGTTAACCTTTTGGCCCAATATATTTTTTGTTTGTTGCAATTGCATCCTATAGCTTATTTGAACCGTCCCATTTAAAACAACGAATCGAAATAGGGCTAAATATATCCTTTTATTACCCGAATTAGTTTAAATATATTCCTGATTGTATTTTAGTTTCAAATATTACCCTCCCGTTATACTTTTAGCTCAAATATATTCCTCTCATTATATATTGATACAAATTTACCCTTAATTTGAAAGAGAGACGCGTAGCAAACTCAAAATAAAATGACTCGCTCCAAATTTTAAATACTAGATTCTTTTAGAAAACCACCCGTTTAATCCATCCCCAATCCATTTCATCCGCTTCAAGTTCTTTTCTTGTTTAAAATGATAGTGGCTAAATAATGAGATCATTTTTTTCAGTTTCATAGCTATTAAATGGAGACTGAAAGTAACTATTACTTAATTCAGTAACTAATTGCTAAAATTATTCTGATCATGAAGTTAGATTTCCGTGTCAAACATCCCTACCTAGTCAACATTTTCCAAGCTACATATATATGCATGAAATGTGATACACAATATTATAAGTACTACTACTTGTTTAGCCTTTAGCTAGGCATGTGTATCAATCATTTAAGTCAAAACTCTTCCATAATGAGTTGCATATGGTGATGGTTCCGTTTACTATAGTCCATGTATACCATAAACAGTACATTACTTCCTCCGTCCACTTTTAATTGTCATAGTTTCCTTTTTAATTAGAATCAAATTATAAAGACTTTGACTAACATTTTATGATGTATTTTTTTTATCATATTGATATGCAAAAAATTACAATATATAGTACTTTTCGTATAATTTTTGAATATCTAATTTTTTTTGTTTAAAATATCAAATTAACGTAATCTAATTTAATTTTGAAAATTAGTCAAATTAAATTTTAAAAAGCACAACATAACAAATAAAAATGGAGGGAGGGAGTACTGGATAAGATCGATCCACTTGAACAGAAATCATGATGATTTTCCATATTCTTATTGTTATTTCCTAATAACCAAAATTCAAAATTTTGAATTACCAATAGGAGTCATGTGATGGAAATAGAGAATGTGACTACCGAAAGAAAGAAGTATTATTTGTACAAGTCACAGAGAAAAGCGAGAAAGAAGTTACCTATAAAGTGATGAATACAAGGGGTCGTTTGCAGAGGCTAATTCAGGATTTCGAGATAATGGATGTACTATTACAAAAATATTGATTTAAGATATAAATTTGATCGGTTTGACATTTAGGTTCTTATTACTAAAAAATGTTCAAATTTTAATATTATAGGTTTTATATATATATATATATATATATATATAGATATATATACCAATAACCACTTAGAGAGGTGTTATCTAATTTTAGAAAGAAAAATAAACTAAGATAAATATAAAATTCAAATTTCTAACCTCACGTAGAGAGGTGCACCTAGTCATCATTGCATTAGATGATACTCCGAGTATGGGTTCACACATCTATATTTGAATAATTTTTTAAAAATATAACACTGTGATATATGATCTCGGGAGGGGAGCATGGATTCACGTGAACCCGGTGACCCCCGTTGGATACGCCTCTGGTCGTTTGGTTGGGAACAAGTTATCCCAGGATTAGTTATTCTGGGGTTAGCTATCCTGGGATAACTTATCTCACCATGCATATGGGATAACTTATACCATCACTATGATATAAAATGGTGGGATAAGTTAACCCAAACATGACAACCAAACAAGATACAAAACTTTTATTCTATTACTATTTTCTTATTACATCACTATTTATTTTTAGCCCTCACATCAAACGACCCCTTAGTATATGCGGCCTTTTATTGAAGAAGACGTAATATCATGTTAGGAGTATTTTTAAGTCATTTTAGACCAACAACTAGTAATTCCAAGTCGATGTTTCATGAGATAAGTTTGGAGATGGCAAAATAATGATGCGGGGACTTTCTATGGGTCAATTTATTACCTTTACTATGTTTGAAGATGCACACACGAAAACACATGTATAGTTGATAAATACTTGAATGATATGAGTGACACACATTTAAGTCTTTTTGAGCTGTTTTAGTACCGCAACAAGAAGATACTAATAGAGATTTCTTAACAAATTTATATTAAGAGAAAATAAAAAAATTCAGCCATCGAGGTAGTATGCAACAATTTGCATGCTAAGCACGATAACTGATCTAGTTCCATCTAAAAGTGTCTAGTAATTAATTTGTTTGGCCAAACTTCTAAAATTAGCTTATTTGAAAACAATTTTTTCATTGAATTTTTTTTAGTGAGAAGTAATCTGTGTTTGACTAATCAATTTAAAATTTACTTTTGAGCATCAATTAATATTTGACCGAACTTATAAAAAGTGTTTCTAAGTGTATTTTCTCAAAAATACTTTAATTTTCAAAAATCCTATTTTTGAAGACTATTTTTTTTTAGTTTCTAAAAAATATTTTTTACTACTTCCCCAAAACACTTATTCTCTCTAAAAAGTTTGGTCAAACACCTAATGAATTAGAAAATTGTGCAAGAAATCTAAATTAGTACTCTCTCTGTCTCAATTTATGTGACACACTTCGCTTTTCGAGAGTCAAACAGTTTAAGTTTGATCGAGAATTTGCTCATGGAATCTTCAATTTTTTTAAAATGAAATTTTTATATATTTGTAAACTACATAAAAAGTACTATAAGTCTCAATAATTGATAATTCAAAATAATTAAAAGATATATGAAAAAATTACGGTCAAAGATAGACTTGTTTGAATCTCGAAATTCGAAATGTGTCACATAAATTGAGACAGAAGGAGTATGACTTTATCTATGCAACAACAACAGGAGATTCAACTTGTAGGAATTTCTTGCCTATAAATACCTTTGGCCAAGCATGCTTTAACATTCATCCAAGAAAAAAATAATTCATTTTCCTTATTCATAATAAAATAACTAGTTGTTCCATAATGGCCATATTTACAAATCCTAGCAAATACATTTGCTTAGCTTTTCTCTTCCTAGTTTTTGGACTTTGGAGCTCTCAATTAGTTTCATCACGTCCAATCAACTATGAGACAACCATGCGAGTTAGGCATGAGCAATGGATTGCCCATCATGACAAAATTTACAACGATTTGAAAGAGAAAGAAATGCGTTTTAAGATATTCAAAGAAAACGTGAAACGTATAGAAACTTTTAATGCAGGAGAAGATAAAGGGTACAAACTTGGCGTTAATAAATTTGCTGATCTCACGAATGAAGAGTTTCGTGTGGTGCATACAGGTTACAAGAGTTCATTTATGTCCTCCTCAAAGCCAAAAACACATTTTAGGTACGCTAATATAACAGACGTACCGCCAACTATGGATTGGAGAAAGAAAGGAGCTGTTACCCCTATCAAGGACCAAATGGAATGTGGTTAGTCAAGATTTTCCCCCTAGTTCTGTTCTTTTTACTTGTTCACTATTTTAATTATATTAAAATAAATATTTACTTATACTTAGTGGCAAAGTTAGGATATTCATTAAGATATTTAAAATATGAAGAAGTAAATATATAGAGAAGTCACTATATACACATAAAAATAATTTTAATCATGTATAAACAGTATAATTTTCTATCGAATTAAAGAGGCTCAAATGCAGTGGCGGAGCCAGGATTTTCATGAAGGGTGTCCAAGTGCTAAAGTGACCTACTCTTCTTAAAAAGTGAAATTTTTTTTTGCTACTATTGAGATTCGAACACACAAACACTTTAAATTTGTGTGTCTTTACTCTTTCAAGGCGCCGAAAACCACTAGGCTACATGATATAGTTGTGTCAAGGGTGTCCAAAATATGTTATTTAGCTACTTTATTTATCATTTTACTTGTATATACGGTATAATATTCCGACGAACAAGGGTGGCTACGCCACTGCTCAAATGAACCCCTAGATCCTTACTAGCACCGCCTCTCCTTGTACTTGTAACTTGTCTACTTTAGTATATCAAAAGAAAGACAAGTTTATTTTTCCAGTTTTATTCTTTAACATGAACTAGTCATATCAAATTATTTTCCAAATTTATTAAAGACTATACATCAATTAATATAATATCATGAGGAACTGTAAACTTCAGAGTGTCAAAAAAAAACAGGGGACAAATTTCCATTTCTTTGTGAGTAGTGTCTCATAATTTAAGGAAATTTCCAAAACACACTTTTTCCTTCATTAATATTCTTTTTTGGTGGTATGGAAACATACAGGGTCCTGTTGGGCATTTTCTGCAGTAGCAGCTATGGAAGGCGTACACCAAGTAACAACAGGAAAATTAATCCCTTTATCAGAGCAAGAGCTTGTAGATTGTGATGTCGAAGGCGAGGACGTAGGTTGCACCGGAGGACTCTTGGATACTGCCTTTCAATTCATCATAAAAAATAAGGGCCTCACTACAGAAGCAAATTATCCATACGAGGCAGCAGATGGTGTCTGCAACAAGAAAAAATCAGCTGTTTCAGTAGCAAAGATTACAGGTACATTTAGCCCAAAAATTAAAAAATCTTTGACCAAGCAAACACTGAACGAGTTAATTATGACCTAACCTATTTATTAACTTAATATGTTTTAATTAACCTGTCTAAATATAATTCAACTCGCTCATTTAACACACTTCCCTAATTACTACAGGATATGAAGATGTGCCGGCCAACAACGAGAAGGCCCTTTTGCAAGCTGTGGCTAATCAACCCGTGTCGGTGGCCATCGATGGGAGTAGCTTCGATTTCCAGTTTTATTCAAGTGGTGTATTTAGTGGATCATGCAGCACTTGGCTTAACCATGCTGTTACAGCAGTGGGATATGGTGCTGCAAGTGATGGTGCAAAATATTGGATTATAAAGAATTCATGGGGCAGTAAATGGGGTGAAAATGGATATGCACACATGAAAAGGGATATTGATGATAAAAAAGGCCTTTGTGGACTTGCCATGAAGGCTTCTTATCCCACTGCCTAAAGGAAATTAAATATCCTTAGCTTTTTAAATATTTTTCAACCATAAACATATGTGAATACTTTTTTTTGAAAAAACTAAGGTTTGTGCTGGGGAAGGGGAAAAGGGGGAGGGATTATTAGGTGGTGAATTGAATTCTCAATAACAAGTACAAATTCGCGTAGCCAATCAACTGAGCTACTCAGATTTTCCAAAAAACATATGTGAATACGTCGTGGGTTTGAAGTAGACTTTTATTGAACTGTCCATAGTTACGTTATTATAGCACTAAAAAGGTGCCACCTTCTATTTAATTGTATTGTATGTGCATCATGTGAAATACTAATATATAATGGTTATATTGTTTAAATTTGATTTGACTTATCACCGGCTTTCCCTTGCAACAATAATATATGACGTGCGTTCTTATATGAAATTAATAATGTCCCAATAAGAGTACTACGTGTCGTTTTGGATTCTTATGACTAGTAAATATTGATTGATCTATTATTAAGCGCAAATCTCACAAGCAATTTCTTAGTTAATTAAACGTAACACAATCTACCAATGTGATAAGAATGTTTCACTTTTAACCAAATGTCTCGGGTTCGAGTTCTGGATGTGAAAAAAATCATGTTGAAGCATCACCAAAAAACATGAATTGCTTGATTTGAATTTAGTCGGAGCTTCAATGCAATTAAATAGCTCGAACTCTGATAATTAACTAGTCTATCTAAATAATATTGCTAACTATCAACTCTGTTCCATCATGATAATTAGTTATTTCCTCCGATCAGAAATAAGTATTCACTTAACATTTTTATTTTGGTTTGAATATGTGTTCACTTATATAATCAGAAATTAATTATTTTCTTATTAATAAATTGAGTGAACTAACTTTAATTATTTCTGATTTGGTTTAGTCTAAACTTTTTTTTCTTTATTGTTACTTTATAAGCATCAAATGCCACGTCATGGATGACTAGAATATGAACACCTTTTAAAACCTAACTGAAAAGTATAAGTCTACCAATATTTCTCTTTCAGAAAACGGTTACACCAGCCAATCTTCAGCAGCTAATTTGATCAGTACAATTATTTTAACCACCTAATATTGACTTCAAGTTTAATTATTTATTATATTAGTTTTATTTTATGGATGTTAACTTGCTATTAATTTTTTAAGAATAAATCAATCAATGGAGTTTGAGATTCTAAAACAAGAATATTTCAAATTTGACTTTCTATTGGTCTACAATAAGAGATTTTTTAAGTTTTGACTTTTTTTATTTAGGTTTTTTTAACTAAAAAATAATAATTTAAAGATACATATGTTGAGAGATAAAAGGTTCTCAGCCTCAAATAAAGTATAAATATATTAATAATGTTTGTATTAAAACTTTTATGATGGCTGATGTTTCTTGTGGTTTTCGGTTTCAGACCTATTCAGAATAATTTTAAATATTAACCACTTGAGAAAGGGAATTATTAAATGCATTGCAATATTCAACCTCTATAATTGCAATTTTCAACTACTTTTGGACTTTGGTGACCGGCGATTGCTAGCGCGCTAATCAAGTTTTATTCTATTAATTAAAATTGAAATATAGCTAAACCTTAATAAACATATTTTTTGTTAATAACTCTAATGACTTATAGGTGAACTTATAGACGGATCATTTGGAGATGATGTCTCAGACTTGAGAGTGTGAAAGAGACTATGAATGGATGCATCTAATTTTGAATTCGTCTCTGACTCGTTATAAAGCTGAAGCTTGTAGATTTCAATTTTGATCTTTCCTCTCATGTTATTACATTCTAATTTGCTTGTCACTTAGGCTCAGCACTTGACAATTTGTCAAACTTCTAACGCAAAATTGAGTACATATAATAATTGATCTTTTCACAATTTCTATTATATGCCCTTTTCTTTTATAAAAGTGACGAAGTATACATTTAAAATATTTAAAGAACCACACTATTTTGATTCTCAAAAACAATACTATAACACCCTTTTTGGACCATAGGCCGGGGTTATATTAGAATCAATCAATGGACGTTATAACCTTTCATCATTACATAGAAACACTGCATAAGTTTGCTTCTTTTGTTTTTGTTTTTTTATATACGTACTATCTTTAATAAAGATATTATCAAAGATTGTAGGAACGCGGTAAATACTCATTCATTCTTAATTAAATGTTTTAGGTTTGAACCCTGAGTATGTATAGTCATCTTTGATAGAGAGTGATTTAACCCATTGAAAACTTCCCGACGTGAATTGAATCAATCATGCCTCAAAACAGATAACAAACACAAATAGAAAAAAAAAATTATTTTAAAGGTAAAATGACAAGGGCAGCATTTTAAAATCATGAATATGTAACATTTATACCTTTATCCAATATTTTATATATTTCATGGTTTGTTCAACTTATTTGAATTTCTCCACATACGCACTTGTATTCATTTTATAATTCAAGTATACATAGTCTTTTTATTCACACAACAAAAATACATATTTCTTTAATCATTTTTGCTTGAATTGGCAAATTTTCAATTCTCTATTTATATCAACTCCTACCCTAGACACCATAAGCCATAACAATTTTTTTGCATCTTCAAAACCAAGAAGATCAAAAAGTCTTGTGTCCATTTTGTCCTTTTCAACAACACACAAAATCTTTGTTTGTTTATTTCTGGGGTTTCGATTTGTTTACATCGATTTGCTCAACAGGGTCAACTTCGTATTCATCGAGATGCTGACCATTAGAAAGAAAATGTGGATGTTTTCTTGCTAATTTTTGTTTTCCCCATAATTTGTTTAAAGTTCACATTTTATTTTTTTTAATCTTTTTAGTTTACATCTTCTATGGCAGTTATGTTCTCAACTATCACAATTAACACTCAATCTGCTGCCAAGATTTTCTCAATTTTCAAGATTGTCCCTCGAATGATCTCTTTTTGGTTTGCTCCGACAACTCGCCCTCCGGGAGCTGACCCTTAGATGGTACTATCAAATTTGTTTTTGAATCCCAGTGACTAAAAATCTTAGTTTTAGTAACTTATGGTTTGTTGAATCTTGTTTGAAATGTGAAGTATTGTTACATATACCATCCATATACAATAATATACAAAAAAAAAAGACTATTGTATTGGTGTGCATTAATTTGTTAGAATGAACTTAGGTGAGTTTTGTGAGAATGAGGCAAAAGGGGTTGTTCAAAGTTTGGTGTTGGATAGTGAGAAAAGTGAATTAGTGAAGGCTAGTGGAAGAGTGGAGAAAAAAATTGGAAAATCAGAGGGGAAAACAATTGCTGCATTGAAGAGCCATAGCGAGGCAGAGAGGCGAAGAAGGCAGAGGATCAATGCTCATTTGTCCACACTCAGGAATCTTGTGCCATCTTCTGATAAAGTAAGTTCTCTCCATTTCTGTTGATAATGATGATTAAAGAATGATAGTACATAATTGAATTTTTAGATTACATGTCTGGTGCATCAATTGTATACTATTAATTATGCTGTTCCATGTTATGATCTATATTGGTATTGAATCTGATAACAGATGTAGAAATGTCAGTACTATTGCAATTTGGAACTTGAATTATTGTTGTTAGGTCAGTTTTGTGTCACTTACTTGCACAAGTTTTTACCTAAGTTTGGATTGAAACAAACCTGGTTGTATTCCCTAACTCTCACAGATAAAGAAAAATAAGAAATGAATTTTCATTTTGAGTGCATAAATCTTGAAGGCTGAGTCTGTTTTTGGCTGCTAGATTAATGAAGAATTTCTCTAAATCTCGCCTTTTGATCTGTGATTCACCGGTCACTAGATCCAAGTTGACAATGCTTTCCTAGTCAGGGTGGAACTTAGAGGGGCGGAAGGGTTTTTTTTTACTTCATAGATATAAAGTTAATTTTTTTTTATGTATATACTGTAGAGTGAAAATTATGTATCCACCGCTCTTTTTCAGTAATCAATAAATTAACCGGCTAACTGTCCAACTTGTTTCCATTATGTGCCTCTGACAGTTCTTGTTTCATTTACTTCTTTCTGTTTATTCCCCCTTTGTTCTGATAGAAGGAAATTCAGGGAGGCTATACTTCTATGTAGAATTGAACATGTATTAGTTTGATGTGGTCCTTTCATAATCAATTGTAGATCCTGGATTTTCAGGGGTTCGAAAAATAAAAAGTGTCAGAAATTTAAACGTAAAACCTCAAAGATCATAATTAGGAATTGCTAGTTCTTGGAGTAACTTGTATTGATGGAAACATTATAGATATAAAATTTGCACTATAAGTTCATCACTAAAGTAAACTCTTTGGCGGTTTGAATTTTCATTTGATGAAGGCTTAACCTGTAGAGTGCAAAGTCGGCTGGTGAATTCTATCTCTTTATCTATGCTAACACGTTTTGACTTGTTCAATTAATTAGTTATATTATTAGCAAAAGTAGTTAGGACTGTGGCTCTTTGATCACTTTTTTTTTGACTTTGTTCACCAATTAATTAGTAATATTATTGCAGTTAGCACTTTGGTCCAAAAACTGACGACATGACCTTAACAACTATGCGTTAATCATTTGACTTAAACACTTATTTTCTATTAAGATAGTCATTTTCATGTCATCTACCATGACCTACTTTTCTAGAAAGGACTAGCCTAGGGCTATTTGGCGGGAATACATCGACAACCCTTAAATTTGTCGGTATATTTCAACTAGACACTTCTGACTTGAATTATAGAATTTTTTTGCAAGTGTGTCCATTAAATATGTTACATCGTTGATTATACACATCAGACTCAATTGAAACAGACTTTCATTTTCATGTCATGACAATGATTTACTTTGATTGAGCTTTAACGTCTAATGGTTAAAACTTTTACTTCAGATGGACAAAGCAGCATTGTTAGCTGAAGTAGTCTGTCAAGTGAAACGATTGAAGGAAACAGCAACTAATGTTAGTGAAAGGTTCTTCATACCATTGGACTCTGATGAAATAAAAGTTGAAATAATTGCTGAAAATGCAATAGATGGGACATGTCTTTACAGGGCATCCATTTGTTGTGAATACAGGCCTCATCTTTTATCAGATTTAAAGGAAACTATCAATTCTCTTCATGTGAATTTAGTGAAGTCAGAAATATCAACGTTAGGAAGTCGCGTGAAGAACGTGTTTCTCTTCACGAATTTGATCGATGGAGGACGTGCCAATACTGAGGCTCGGGAAATTTTCTTATCCTCTGTTCGACAGGCGTTTAGTTGTATACTGGATAAAGTTTCTGCATTTCCAGAATATTCAGCCTATCCGAACAAGAGGCAACGTATTTCTTGCTTCGAATCTTCAAGCTTATTATTCTGATGACGATTATCGCCATTTTATTAGTATCATTCAACTGCTTGTATGTATATTGATGTTTTCATTATCATCAAATAGTGGTTGATTTGGATTGGAAATTTCATGTTATATTGTACTGCCCCTCAGTGGCCTGATGACTATATGTAAATAGTTTGTTACCTATTATAGTACACACTCTTTAATTTGTGTATGCAGAAAGGCACATTTCTTAAATGGAGGGTGATTGTGAATGATGAATGAAGTAATGCGTGTAGTGTAATTGCTTTAAGAAAATGTAATTTTTATGCATAAAGATCATTCAAATTACCATATAACAAAAAAGTATAAGAAATGTTGAAAGAATTGAATGAAGCTCTTATGTTTAGGAACGTTGTTAGTTATGGGTCCTCGGGTTTCTTCACTTTCTTGGGCTTGAAACAAGTTCACTCAAATTGAAACGAGGGGAAGTTACAAATATATATTGTTCAGCCGCCTAGTTTATCAACATGAACAAAATATATCAATGTATATGTTATGTATAAGCATGTATATTATATGTATAATATAAATATATTTTATTAAACTAGTTGGACCAAGGGTTTAGAGCCGTAATTATTTCAGAAACGAACATAAATAACCCTCCACCAAAATAATAGTAGTCAATAAGTATATAAATTTTTTTATATTAATATATACGTAAAAAAAAAAGTTATTATCTATTAGCTAATAAAAAATGTTATGATCCTTCTAAATAGAGGTGTGTACAGTCCAGAAAAACAAAGAACTCTCTATACCTTTCAGTGCTTTTCAACAGAAATTTTCACGGTAAGTCTCTTTAATTAGGATCACTATTTAATTTAATTTTTGACCTTGTTAAAAAAACTATGAAGAAGTAATGTTCCGCCAAAAAAAAGTTCTTGGGTCTAAAGTCGCCATCTTGATAAGCTCAGCTCGACGTTTTGTTGGTTCTACAATTATGTCAGGGTCGTTTGATTGAGTACAAGTTATTTCGGAATAAGTTATCATGTGTTAAGTTACTCTACCAGGTATATGAGAAAACTTATCTCATCACTAAGGTATAAATAATGGGATAAATAATCACACGACTGCCTAATCCAATCAAACGCAGAATCATTAATTTATCCTTGAAATTATAATTATACCGTACACCTCACACCCATAACTCCTCAGTGTTTAGGGTATTTATGTGTACAACTTAAGTTGTGAATAGTAGGGCCATTGAAAATATATTCAAAGATCCTTTTGTCATGCTGAGACAAACAATGGAAAATTAAAAGGGGGTATGATTAAAGGTAGGAATCAAAAGGAAAATAAATTATGAAACTTTTGAACTAATATGTACACAACATAATACAACAAAAGTTTTAACGTCAAAATCGATCAAATGTTTTCATGACTTTTTCATAAAGGAAAAGAAGATTTCTAACTTTAGCCATCAGCTCCGTCTGTCCCTAATTACTTGTCCATTTTTCCTTTTATAGTTGTCCCTAATTACTTGTCCATTTTGACAAATCAAGAAATGACAAATTTTTTTACTTATTATACCCTCAATTAAATGACTAATTACTTTGAAAAATGTACAACTTTTCATTCACCTCATAATTAATAGGAGTAAATTAAATGGTAAACTCACTATGTCATTAATTGTTTTCTTAATATGTGCATCAATTCAAAAGTGGACAAGTAATTAGGGACAGAGGGAGTAATACTTCCTAGAACGTCTCGATTATCAATAATTACAATGTATTCCAACTTCTACAAAGAGTATTTTTGGTCTGTTTGCTAATTAAATACTCCATCTGTCCCTAATTACTTGTCCACTTTTGAATTGGCACACCTATTAAGAAATCAATTAATGACATAGTGAGTTTACCATTTTACCTCTATTAATTATGAAGTGGATGAAAAGTTTTTCATTTTTCAAAGTAATTAGTCATTTAATTGAGGGTATAATAGGTAAAAAAAATTGTCATTTCTTGATTTGTCAAAATGGACAAGTAATTAGGGACAACTATAAAAGAAAAAATGGACAAGTAATTAGGACAGAGGGAGTAGCTTATTGCTAAAGTTACAAAAAGTTGTACCCTACAATCCATTATTAAAATACCTATTCCCTGTGGAAGGACTTGGGCCAATTAGATACAATCATACAAACTAGAAATATACTTTTTGTCAGTGACATAGAGTCCGATCCAAAATATTTAAAAGATATATGAAAAATTTATCGTAAAAAATAAATTTATTTGAATTTCAAAATTCAAAACATGTCACATAAATTGAAACGGAGAAAATATTAATTAGTGAAATTACACAACTAGGATAAGAGATCCCTGCCTCGAATCAATATAGCTATGCTACAATACGTGTATGTGATTTTCACCGGCCAACAAAAAAAAAGACAGCTTCGGAAGTATTTTACGAACTTCCCAAACTGTCCCAAAAGAGCCAACATCCATTTATTTTTTTACATTTTTACAAAAATTATAAAAGTATGTATGTCATCACGTGAGTTAGAAATTGTTAATTACTTAAATTAATACAGGCGCATATCGACCAAAGTCATGGACTGGCCAGGGCCGTCTTAACCTCTAGGCCACTAAAGCCATCGCTTGGGGCCCCATATATTTTGAGGGCCCCATTTTTAAAAAAACAATTACTTATATATGTTATGTTTAAAAAAATAAAAATTATATGTACTATGAGTGTTATGATTTCTACCAAGGAAATTGCATATGAGATGAAAATAAACCTGAATTTCGTAAGAAACAATTTGATGAAAATATGGATAGCGAAATCACAAAGTCTCTTGAAGAATCTTTTAGAGTTGATTGCTTTATATATGTAGAGTAGATCAAACTAGTTTTTTCACTTCAAAAATAGTTTTGGACCAATTGAAGCATATGAAAATATTTTTGATTTCTCATTTAATGGTAAAATATTGAGATCACTAGATGATGAGAATTTTTAAAAAATATTGTCTTAACCTTGAACTTTATTTAACACGTAATAGTTATTCAGATATTGATGGTTTAGATTTATTTTTTAAATTTAAAGTGTGAAGAGAAATAATACAAATAGAAGGTAATGATCTAATGAAAATACTCAATCAAATAAAAAGACTTGATTCTTTTTCAAATACACATATTGCTTATAGAATAATGTTAACAGTTCCTGTAACCATTGCCTCAGCCGAAATAAGTTTTTCGTAATTAAAATTGATTAAATCTTCTTTAAGATCAACAATATCCCAAGAGAGATTGAATCAGTTAAATATATTATAATTTGAAAATGAATTATTAACACAAATCAATTATAAAACAGTACCTAATGACTTCGCATCTAAAATAGCTAGAAAATTAAATTTTAAATAAAAGTTATATGATGAATTTTTTTTTATTAGGGCTCCTCTCTTGAATTTCGCTTTAGGCCCCCAATGTTGTTGAGTCGGCCTTGGGACTGGCGGTCAATTAAGCAACAAGGAGAATCGTGAGATCTCAAATTCTCATTTGCAAATGGAGACAACTTTTTAAGCAACACATTTACATACGGTATAAAATATGGATCACTAAGCTTTTCAAACGTTAGGTATATATATTGGTTCAGATTAAGGAAACAAGAAGTAAAATGGCCGTCATTCTTTGAACTTGGGCTTCACCATTAAAAATAAAGATAAAGGAATTACATTTTCTTTTTAACAAATTAGGATATATAGTTTGTGGTGGAACACCTCATATAACCACCTAACTTTTCGTCTACCATATATACAAAAAAATGGGGAACCACCAAGAAGGAGCCAAAAAAGAAGAAGAAGAGGAACGTACATCAGACGATTCATGCATTATTTAATGAGTCAGCAATCAAAAACACATCTAAAGTATTTTGATTTTTTTTAGTTTCACATATGAATTATAAGGTGTGCGAGGTTTCTACATAAACTATCACCATATATTTATCGAAACACGTCTCAACTATCCGTTGTTCTCTTTACTTACTTGAAATATCCCCCTCGTTCATGTAGAAAAAGAGAACAACTGATAGTTGAAGTATGTTTCTATAAACATTGTGTGACAGTTCAAATAAAAAATTTGCATACCTAATAATTCAGATATGAATAAAAAAACTAAGATACTTTAGATGGGTAGTATGTTTTTGACCTTATTTATTTGATCTCAAAGCTTCCTTCACACAATATAATCATACCAAACTAAATTTGCACCATACCAAACTAAACTTGGACATGTGCTACAATTAATTTTGATTCCGACTATATATTCATATATGTCGATAGCTAAAAATTTTGGTGGAATCCAACGTGGGAATGCCACCCCAGACCATGACACTACTCTTTATAATGCAAATTCCACTCCCAAACTTTTATTAAATTAAAAAAGTTTTATATCTACTTCTCTTCTTTCTCTTTTCTTATTGGTGATCGAACAATTTCCAAGGACCAACCACCACACGCTTCTATGGTAAAAATTTCCTTTCCAACTAAGTGCATAATACGTACATCATAAATTCAGATAGTAATGAATAAATATAATCAGATAGAATACGTAATTCATGAAAGAGAACTTACTTATTTTTCGTGTAGTGGAAGCTGTAGGATGAACCGCGGTTGAAATTTACTCGTCCATGGTGGTTGTCACAATATTTTGTAATAACCTCTATATCACAGTTCAAACCCTAATTGATTGAGGAGAGAATAAAACATAACATTACTATATTCTTTGTACATATTCCGTTGTGTTTTCTAAAAAAAATAAATTAATTACACAACATATATGTGTTTATATAGAAATTATTAATTAGTACTAACGTAATTACCCTTATAAGCCTTAAAACACCCCTTGTGGGTGAGCCTGAATTTTTTACACTATCCTACATTGAAATTAATGGTATCATGATTACCAAAATACCAAACCAATACTTAATAGTAATAAAGTAAGCATATTAGGTGGTAGAATTAAGGATAATCCAGAGAAGCTGGTATGTAGCTTACCACATATACTATTACTCGATAAGCTAGCTTGGTCCAGCTCATATACTTTAATTGTTGAAGCTCCAATCTATTTTATAAGTATATGAGTAATTAATTTATCCCTAAGTAGATCGATCACATATTCAATACCTTTATACTTTCAGTAAGATTTACTATAGGGTTAGTTAACTTAATTAATTCTTAACACCCCACCCCTTCCGGACTAGATAATTTTCAATAACAAC